GTCTGCACCTGCCGGCATGGCTGAGCCCTGCGCTGGGGTCCTGTGATCAGCCCTCTGGATCCGGGGTGGGGGATGCAGCGCTTGGCTGGCTGGGGGTGCTGACCAGCCTCCTCCCGCCCCCCCCCAGCTGTACATCCAGGCCCGGCTGATGGGGAAGTGGGCCCGGCTCCTGCGCCCCACGATCCAGTTCTTCCTCATCGCCTTCGCCATCTATGTGGGCTACACGCGGGTGTCGGACTACAAGCACCACTGGAGCGACGTGCTGGTGGGGCTGCTGCAGGGCGCGCTCATTGCCGTCCTCATCGTACGTACCCGCCTTGCGGCTCTGGCCCCCCGGCTTCAGCGTTTTGCCCCCCTCCCCTGGCAGTGCCCGTAACACCCGGGCAGCTGGGCCGGCCAGAGAGCTGTGGGAGTCGGGCAGGAACGAGCCCAATGCCCTGAAGCTTGTGGTGGGTGGCCTGGGGGTCTGCAGGCTCACACCTTCCTCCATCCATCTGTCTGCTGCTAGCCCCAGGGGAGCAGTCGGGCTTCTGCGCCAGCCTCCAGGCTGTCCTGGAGCATGTTGGACCCCTCTCCCACTCCCCCCTTGCAGCCCTGGGGGGTGATGACCACATAGGAGCAGGAGCCAGGACACCTGGGTTCAGTTCCCAGTCTTCCTGCTGACCTGCAGCTTGACCTTGACAAGGCAGGCTTGGGGAGTGGGAGATGCTCAGGCCCACCGTTTTACTGTGGCTGGACATGGGGATCCCCCCACAGGCTGCCTGGCCTGATCCTGCCTGGAGTCTGTCCCTGAGCGCCCCCCTCCAACCCTCCCTATTCCCTTCCCCTCCCCCCCAGGTTCGCTATGTCTCGGACTTTTTCAAGCAGCGCCCCGCCCCACTGTGCACCGAGGACCCCGAGCGCAAGCCCAGCCTGCCGCTCACCCTGAGCGATCCTGACCGCAATCACTACAGCAGCTACCCGGGGGGGCCCTGAGCCGCAGCCCCCGGCGCACTGGGCCCAGCTGACAGCCCCCCAGGCCTGCAGGGCTGCACGGACGCTCCCTCCCCACATCATCTTCTCCTCTCCTTCGGCTCCACGGCTCCCGGGACCCCCTACCCCCCTCTGCAAGGGGGCACGGGGCCAGCGCTGGGAGCGCCAGCGTGGAGCCCAGCCCCTCCTGGCCCGCGGATCCGGAGGGGCCCAGCGCCTGCGTGTGAGTCATTGCTTCTAAGGGTGACTTTCCAGCCCGCTGCACGGAAGAGGCCAGAGTGGGGCGGGGGGGGAAGGGAGCTGGCACGGGGCAGGGGAGGTTTGCTTGGCAAGCTGAGAGGAAGCCTGGAGGGGCAGGGGACTGCTTGCATTTATATCCACGGCGTGGCCTGGCAGGGCAGCAACGCTGGCTTTTCCCACTGGACCAGGGACAACAGCTGCCCCGTTCCTCTCCCTCTGACACCCTTGGAAGCTGGCAGCTGATGCAGACGATGGAGGCACGGGCGCCATTCGCTCCCCAGCCCTGGGGGCTGCCTCTGCCTTGGGGTCTGCCTGTTTGCACCGGGCTGGGTGGGACCAGACCCTCCTCTACGCCAGATCCGACCAACCCCAGGATGGCAGAGGGTGGGACTCTTCTGTGGTCAAAGGAACATCCTCATTTGGGCCTGATCCCAGCCCCCCAGGAGGGCAGGCGATGGACCATGTCACCATTTATATATATAATATATATAGTGTGTGTATTTTTT